AATCGCCAGTGGCCCACCCCGCCTTACGAGGAACGGGACTGGATGAACACGACATCTTCCAATTTCTGAGAGTCAGCATTCAAATGATTTCCTTGCAGAGGTCATTTTTTTTTACTCCCTTCTTTCCTCTCGCTTTTTGAAACTTGCATTTCGGGAAAATTAAAAGAAGAGAAAACGATGTCATAATGCGCATTACCGGCTATCTCACCGAGCACGGCGTACTGGGTTTGGTGTCTACCCTGTTCACATTTTATCGGAGTTCTTCTGTCTTCTTTTATTTCCCCTTCTGTTCTGCATATTGTGTGCTTTTATCACTTGGTTGGCATCGGTGTGCCCTGGGCTTGGGCTTTTTACTGGTTCTTTTCGTTCTCATACCCCCAAAGGCCTTTTATAGACGGCGGGCCTCGCAACTCGTTTCCGGCATATCTTGTTTGTCTTCTAATCTTTCCTTTGCTATTTATATTTTGTGGCATCTGCTCCCTTGCTCTGATATACCCTGATACCGAACGCGCGAGTCGCGAGATCTACCATCACTTCTTATATATACACATATCCTCTCATCAATCCTTGTCTCCTAACATTCAGATCTTTCCTTTGTCCACCACTCTTTCTTTGTCCTGTGTATATTCTATTGCATATAAATCGTCGCCTGTCATTCCTTTCTGTTGCGCCCAGGGGAGGTGTTACGACTCGTGTTGTCGAGCGATCCTTCCATTTTCTCCACTGTACAATTTTGTTCCGCCATTCCTTAGTACGACGATGATAGTCGAGGCCAACGATCCTGTAATATAGTACCCATTTATCGGCTGCAAGCCCTGCCCTTATATATACATATACACACCTAATGCAACAGACAATGAAATTTCTGTGCTCATTTGATCATTCTGAAGGAGTATCTGTGTATAGCATATCATCAGGGATATGGTAGAGCGACTTGATGCCTATTCCATGCAATATTGAGACCAAATAGAGAGGTATGGAGTAGTCCGTGTCGGAACAACAATTATCCATTCTTCATCAGAATTTCCCGAAACAGTACTTCAGATATGATGGCCATCAATTTTCCTATTATTGTGTTGCATGAGACTTTCTGCGTGTAGTCCTCCTATGGATCTGTTTTATTGATCTCCTTCTCATAGCCATCAATTACCCCTCGCGGCCCCACGGAGCCATTGAAGGCCTGGATAGCTGAATCCCGATTGCGTCCTTCTACAGAAGGCAAGCTCGATACTCTTTTTTTACAGTCACTCAAGAAAAACCAGATACACAGTCGTCATCCCGTCGCTTGGATCAACAGTTCTTGCCCTTTCCTTCCTGGAAATCCACAACCCAGAATGTCGGCCCAGCGACAAGCCTCATCTGCCTCACAGACCCCACACCTATCACCAGCAGAACTTTCCTACCTCTACGCTTCCCTTGCGCTTCCCGACAGTCCCATTCGACCAGACGGGCGCTCACCCACACAGTTCCGACCCTTAACAGCAGAGACCGATATCCTCCCAGGCACCAATGGCAGCGCGCGGGTCGGATTCGCAGACGGCACGCAAGCCATCGTCGGAGTGAAAGCGGAGGTTGAGAAGACAGCCCTGGCGGCAGAGGCACTGAATGTCTCGCAGTTGTCACCGGGGGATGATTACGCGGCCGATCAAGGCGCGGACGGCAAGGAGGGGATGGGCGCAGCGGGCGGGCACGAATCGTGGGTGCAGATCTCCATTGAGATTCCTGGTTTTCGGGACGACGACGCCTTGCCTGTTTTCCTGTCGGAGATGATGCGGGAACCGCTGATTGAGTCTGTGTCGAGTGCGCAGGGAGGGGATATGGGGATGGCTGGTGGTCTGAAGGGGAGGCTGGTCATTAACCGCCGCTGGCATTGGAGGCTGTATATTGATGTAAGGGACCTTTGCTGGACGGTGCATGCAGCCGTGGCCGTGGCCGTGCGTTTACCCGGTGCGTTGTCGTGCTGACTTTTGGTCTCTTCACTATAGGTTTTGCTGCTCTCGCAGCCTCTATCGTACCCGCTGCCTTTACTCTCTCTGACGACGCACCTGGCGCTTTTGTCGACGAGACTGCCCAAGCTGAAATCCAAGGGCGAAGAGGACCCGTTCTTCGACGATGATTGGAACGCGGCCGAATATCTCTACCCTCGCCAGAGTTCTGGGACTGCTGCTACACCCTCGCTTTCGCAATTCGTTCGACCTCCAGTGACGCTGCTGGTCATCTCCGTGGCCGATAACATCATCTTCGATCCCAGCAGGGAAGAGATTGCCGTTGCAGATACCGTCTTGGCCCTTTCGGTCTGCCGCGACGGGGAGACTGGTAGTCTGAAACTACTATCTATGAGGACGATTGACCCTCCATCCCGTCTGACACAGCCGGGCGTGCCGAACTCGGAGAATGTCGCTACGATAGGGTCTTCCGCTGCTGCAGAGGATGCTACTGTCTTGAACCCTTCCACCGGCGAGGAGGAAGTTCCTGGAGTCTGGAGACCTCGACGTGGTGGGGTTAAAAGAAGTACGATCGCGCGCATGGTGAAAGCAGTGCTGGAGAAGGGTGGTGTTGGCGAGGATGTATTAGAGGGACTAGAGGGAGTTTCCGTCGGTTGAGTCGATCATGCAGTGCAGATTGAAGAGAAGCTCTATGAAGCTGCCCACTGCGGGCTCAACGTGTATCGGCTGTCTGATTCACACAAGCGGCCGGGCTCATTCGCTGCAGGTAAAGCGAAAACAGACGGGCCTGCTATGTGGGAGAAAGGAGTCTGGCGCTTTAAATGAGGACTGATATGCCAGGTCTATGCGGTTCTCTGGATGCGAAACAGACGTGACGACCAGGAGATATATCATGACATGTACACATAGAATAATGCATGGGTAGACACAACGTCAAAAGCAAACATCATAGCAATCTAATATACAGCGCTGAGCCGGGTTCCTAACCCACCGAACTCATTCCATCCATCCGGCAGCAGTCTACCAGATACCAAGCCACTTCTTGACAGGCCTCTTCTTCCCTTCCCAGTCAACGTATTCTTCCGCGCCAACCGCAGGAGCATCAACTGCGACCGGCGACTGATCATCAACCACCTCCGCAGTCGGTCTCTCAGTCTTCTCATCCGGCTCTTCCAACCCATGCGCAATCCGATACTGCCGCCTCTTCTCCGCATCTTCAACCCGCTTGAGGCGCTTCTCTCTCGTCTCCATCGAGTTATGCTGCACATGCATGCGGAAGACGGTAAGCGCCTGCCCGACCGTGTCGATCGGGTGAGTCAAGAGCGCAGACCACGGCGGCAGCAAGTGCGCGTACGGGGAGGAGTGCTTGAAGTTCGTAGTGAAGGTGAAAGTAGCCAGGGAGGTGAGGACGCCCTAAACATGCCACAGCATCAGCCACTGTTTCCAACCAACGTAGAGTAAGGGGAAAGACCAACCATAGCAATCCAGATATGGATCCACCGACTCGTCAGAAACTTGTACATGATTGTCCCCTCCGGCGGAAACATATTCGGGTACTTCCTGGTCTTCTGCTCCTCCTTCTCCTTCTCCGAGAGTCGTGGGCCGGGGTAGTTGATCGGTCCGCTGACTACCCTGCCATTGCGGGTCGGCACCACCCGGCGCGCGGGGTGCGAGGGTGGTCGGAACTTGTCAGGTTTGGCGAGCACGCGCGGTTTGCTGCCGTCGTCTGATGAGGCGCAACGGCGCGACGAGGGGACTGTGGTTGCGAGGATGCTCGGGTTGCGGCGGCGGGTTAGGGCGTGCAAGGTTCGGGAGGAGGGTATCCCGCGAGGGAGGAGGAATTGGGGAATTGTTATGGGCGCCATTGTATATGGCAGGCGTAAATAGAGGGTTTTAAAGAGGGTATGTTGCGGAGAGGCGCATATACTCCGTGTTTTGGTGCCTCTTGTCCGCTACATCTCCGACTATTTTTTTCTGTCAGCGATGTTGATATGATATCACGTGACTGTATAGAACACGGCAGCAGTTCTTGCTCTCATGCCATGACGTTGCTATCAGATGTTCCGACACTAATCGATTAATTTTAGGCCAGGTACACATAGGATTACAGGAATGAGCATTATGTTCGCATGCATCGATCCAGGTCGCTGGGATGTGTCCAGTCTGAATACAACCGCCGGTCGGTCTATCCCTTGACGCCTCAGATTTCAGGCCGTCAACGTATCGGACCACCCAAGCCGGCGGAGCGGAATTACTTCTCTGAAAAAATTGGGTCGGCGATTGTTCCAGCGGGCAAATGACGACGCTGCCATTTCCAATCCTATGGGACTGGTTCCGGCTGCTGCAGTGATGCAGAACCGGTATGTTGACCTCGCGCAACTCATGGAAGTGCCCTTATCTACGTTGCGATTCAGGAATTATGGTGAGCGCATGTAAATATGCACCATCTTCGCTTCGCGTCCGTATGCGTGCCAATTTTTCCTCTCTATGCTGACTGAGGCTTAAGGCGACTTATGCTTCGAGAAGCTAAGTCTGAGCCTGCGATGAGATCATAGTCTACGTGATGTTGGCGATTGCCATTGGGAAGGCAAATCGCAATGGGAAGAAATTTGGATGTTGAATCTGGATTTCGATACAGTTGTCGACTCGTCTGCATCCTGATCAAGAAACACAATTGCCTAGAATAGGTATCCAGATCCCCTATCCGTACTTCCGTAGATGGCTTTAGAAAGTGATGCCATTGACGTAAGGCAGAGACAAAAATCCACACCGGGCATTTCCCAGTGTGTGACCGTGTCCCGACAGCGCCCGTTTTCCGTTGAATCATCATGTATCTGATTGGTGGATGTTCGGATCACGGGAGTTGCCGGGGGCAAGGCCGGCCGCATCAATCTACAAATTCCGCCCGCAAGTTTTTCTCCCCTGCCAGCTTGCTCCGTTTCTCCCCCAATTGACTCTCTAGACTTTTTTTGGATTCCTCTGTATTCCAATTCCTCTTGTACAAACACATTTTCAATCTCATAATCTTCATTCACATCTACCTGTACATTCAAAATGGGCAAGGACGAAGGTTTCGCTCCTGGTAAGCATACCTTATTGTTCCCTTTCCACGCGATTTCCTCGTTTCGCTCTCGTTGGGACCAGCCATCATTCACTGCGACTGCGGCGTCCCCTCGTATGTTCGCTTCAGAAGACGTCCAGTGAATGATGGCTGGATCTGGGGGAGTAAAGAATGCGTTCCTACTCCCCAGGCCTCTTCTCTCTGCCACGACATCTGCTCTGGTAGCAAGGATCAGCTGGTATCGCAATCGTCGCGTCTCGTCGTTACAGTTCAAACATCTCTCAGGCCGGTGTCTACCATTTCCACGAGCACGCCGCAAGCAGCATGACGAGCTTCGATACCTTCTGTCTCCTCACTACCATCGACATGCGCGAAGCCGAACTTGAAGCGGCAGAAAAGGCCAAACAGATGGCTAACGTATTCGCGATTGCAGGTGACGCTAAGAAGGGTGCCAAGCTCTTCCAGGTGAGTACAGAACAACCGCCATAGTATCTACTTGCATAGCGACTAAGATCCTCGCCCTAGACCCGTTGCGCTCAGTGCCACACTGTCGAGTCTGGCGGTCCCCACAAGGTCGGCCCCAACCTCCACGGTCTCTTCGGCCGTAAGACCGGTTCCGCCGAGGGCTACGCCTACACCGACGCCAACAAGCAGGCCGGTGTTACCTGGGACGAGAACACTCTGGTATGTAATAGCATTTTGAACACTCGCTCGATGTGAGCCATGCTAATGCGCCTCTGCAGTTCTCCTACCTTGAGAACCCCAAGAAGTTCATCCCCGGTACCAAGATGGCCTTCGGTGGTCTGAAGAAGGGCAAGGAAAGGAACGACCTGATCACGTATGTTCTTTTGCCGAAGACTTACTCTGCCATGGTCGGCATTACAGGCGCTAACTGTTTCTCCCCTACAGCTACCTCAAGGAGAACTGCTAAACATGTTCGCCCTGAAAAGTCACTTGTCTCTTCAACCTTGTCTGGGAAACGTTGTCGTGCCGATCCTCCTGTGGTAAAAGCAGATGCACGGCAGTTCGACGGACAGGGCATGTACTATACTACAACCTTGTTTAAACGCAATAGACCTGATATTTTCTGTGTGCTGGAACATGGCGGATATCATAGAGTCCTAGCGTGCGGGATTGTGTTTACTATCCTTTTCCGATGGTTATGTCTTTTGCTTCGGATTTTGTGTACCATGACCGACCATAATGAATTAAGAGATCTCCTCTCATGATGACCCTGCTTCTTGCTGTGTGTTCTACCTCAGACTGTCCGCCCACGTGCGTCATCGCTCGTCACGTGTTGGTGTAGGTGCCTGCTGACAAGGTGGATTGCTGCCTTGCTGCCTGAAGGAAGTTACTCGTCCTATCTCCTGACTCTCTTGTCTTCCCCCCAGCCTGTTGATGATTCGTGGATGTTGACACCAAGTTTCAGGTATACTCTTAGCTCCAGCGACATCGAGTGGAGTCGAGTCAGTCGTCTTCCAAGCTCGTCCTGCTGTTCGCCCGTCTACGGTTTGCGACTCTCCTCGCCAATACAACAGCCATCTGGTGGACGATCCCTGCAGCCATCATTCAGCCGTTGTTCGCTGATTGGTCCGGTACGCAGGACATGCTGTTCGTCTGGTCTAGCTCTGAGGATGTCCTGCTAGGTACATCCACTCATGCGGTGGACTCTAGACTAAAACGTTCATGATTGATACTATGATGTTGCTAGACTGGAGACTACGATGGCCCTGTACGGTACAGTACAGCTGGAACCATGGGCACATGACCCTCAGCTGACAGATCTGATTGGTCCAGCCACTCTCTGCGCCCCCTCATCCTCGTGATGGTCCAATCAGCACGAAGGTCAAATGCCCCCTTCCCCCTCCCTTTGGGTATGGTACCTAAGGTACCCGTACGAAGTTACCAGTGCAGTTACCAAGCAGCTTATCTGCCTTGATAAACTCGGGTACATCAGCCCAGGAGGAGGAGCATATCTGAGATCGGATTCCCCCTCTTGTAACTTATCTAGGATAGACCGCGATCAAAAGTCGTGCAGGCATACATTCCATACCAGAGATCCATCCATTCTTGTTGGCTGAAGTCCATCAGCGCGTCTTCACGTCTACTTACTAACTAACGTGCGTGCTTCTACATCTTACAGACAGAAGTTCCCGGGGAATGTGCTGGTCCGTTTGATGCAAGCGCCTCCTGTTTGTATGTACCTCCCGGGCCACCTACAGTCAGTACTTTGTCCCAGGCATCGACACGGCCAGTGAGTGACTTGTCGCTCTACAGTTAGTCAGAAATAGCTATTCGGGTCTCGAGTCCTCAGGCATCAAGGCTCCCCCCGATCCTCCACTGGAAACCTCGCGCAGCGCATTCCCATGTCTTGCATCTCCCCATTACTGCTTCTTGCATTCGACTTGCTAAACTCTTTACTTCTTATCCGAACTTCTGATTCTTTGCCTCGTCGTTTATTTCCGACAGCACATAGATCAGACCTCACCGGATCTTAGCGCGCTTGCGACTAACCCCTCCTTCAAGCTATCTACCAATTCATCGCTGTCTCAGAGCTGCACCTCAAGTGGTCGCTTTGACAGCGCACTGACTGAAGTGGCTTTACAACTTCCCTTTAGATTGTGCGCAACGCCGTCCATCATGCTGGACGAGCTGGATAACGTTTTTGATGACCATCCGTCGCTGGATGCGTCGCTAGAGGACTTTGAGAACAACAGCAATGCGCACCGCTCTCCCGTATTCGGCCTCCCCTCACAGCATTCCGGGTTCCGCTCAGAGGAGTCGGAAGGTGAGGAAGAGGATACCACTCCGAACGGTGAACGCTGGTCGCCTCCGGGCTTTCGCAGATATGATTACGTTCAAGGTAGCGGGTGGTATCGCCATCAACCTTATCTGCGCAAAGGCGAGAACGATCGGCCGGTGCTGAAGCCGACTGTGGGAGTCAGCCCGTCGGTGTCGCGCGAGGCTAGCCCACAGTATGAAGATGCGATCGACACCCCATCGGTGAAGAAACGCAGCGAGTCGGCCGACACGGGGGATGCGACCATCGCTGCCAACGTACCGTTACCTTCTGACACACCACTTACGGGACGGTCCCCGAGTCCCGCTCCGGCGCTCAGGGCAAGCCCCGCCGACGAGGTTTTGGACTTTGGGCCGGAGAATAACTTGAGCAATTGTAGGCTTTATCTTGGTTTGCACCCTTGACCAGCAAGCTGGCGCGGGATACTAATAGGTGGACGTTTTCTCAAGATATCCGGTTTGCTGTGCGCGCAGAAGTCCAGCATCGTGAACCATTTGTCGCACTTTTTAGTTACTTGCGATCCAAGTTCGACAGAATCACTAGTTCCAAATCCAACACCACACTGTCCATCCTGATTGCGCTTCTGTCCATCGCATTCATGCGCGCATTGTTCTTACCTAGTCTCCCTCAATCGATTCCGGATCTGGTGAAATTGTCAAGCTTTGCGCGATCATTCGAGCCGCTCATATACTACTCGGAGAATGGAGTACAGCAGATTGGAACGTTGCAGGAGACCGGTGTTGCTGTCTGGGATCTGAGTGAATCCGTCCGCGGTACCAATATGACCAGCGCGCCGATCATTGTGCGCCAGCTAGATGAACTGTCCGAGTCGCTGAAAACATTGTCGCTGGAGCTAACGCGCTTTTTCGCCAATGTCGACTCCGACGTTGACTCCATTCTGATAGTCATGGACTGGGCCAAAAGAGAGCTGGAGACTTTATCGTCGCAACCTCCGAGTTCTCTGCCGTCCATTGTCCTCGACAATGTGCATGATCTCTTATCACGGCTGGGTACGCTGGAGCGGACAGACACTCCCAATGGTGAGGCGAGTAGCAGCCAGCTGACAACCACTCCAACCACATTCGGTCTCGTCGTTACGGCCGTGTTGGGTCAGACTTCCGCGCAGCGGACGCGGGCCACTCTCACGCGAACCTTCACCGAGTTCCTATCTGTTCTTGAAGAGTCGATCAATAGTGAATTGACCCATTCAACTGCGCTATTTGCCCTCTTTGAATCCATAGATCGCCAATTTCTCAATCTGCAGCGCACCGTTGTGCGCGAGTCGGACGCGCAAGAACGTGCCGAGGGGGAAATGCTGAGCTCTCTGTGGACGAGAGTCCTGGGTCCTGATGCCGCTATGGTTCGCAAGTATGAGAAGAACAAGCGCTTGTTGGCCAATGTGCGCAGCCGAACTGTCGCCAACAAGCATCTCCTGATGGATCACCGCGGCCGACTTTTGACACTCAAGGTCAACTTGGAGACCCTGCGACGAAAGCTGGTTAGTCCACTTGTTCGGCGGAACGACTCTGTCAGCTTTGTGGGTGCTGTCGAGGGAGGCAGCGGCCGCAGTAACGGACGGATGCTGGGCCCAGTTGAAGCGGTCATCGAAGGCCAGATCCGCGGGCTGGAGGGTACGTACGAGTACCTCCGCTCTGTCCGAGAAAAGCAAAAGGCCAAACTCATGGAAATGGTATATGGAGCTGGGCGCAAAATCCCATCCCCTTCCATGTTGCCAGACGGATCGGACGATTTAGGGTCAGATACCATCGAAGGGGTCTGAACGCCGCCAGAGGAGGGTTGCAAGGGGTTACGTTTACCGTTACCCCCGTTCACACATACATCTTACGTCTGCTGTTGTTCTCCTCTCCTCCTTTGATTTAGTCGATTAGTCATCACGGCGTTTTTCATCCCCTCGCTGCAGGCAATCACTCGGCGTTCTCGGTCGATTACACCCTAGACATCGGGCGTCATCATGGTATCTGGTCTGGTCTGGGTTGGCTTGCGTCCACGAGTCTATTGAACTCGTCTCTTCGTTTTTTCTCTCTCCCATTTCCCGGCGAAACTGAGGTCAAAAGCAGAATAGACGAGTGGTCTTTTTGTTTTTCTTTTTTGTGGCTTGTTGGATATGGAAAGGGCTGGTGTTCTGTGATTCCGTTCCTTTCAGGATACATACAGCAGGTAAGGAAGGAAGGTGCGGGACGGCGCTTATATTGGTTTTTGGCTTTTTTTTTGCGATCTTTTTATATCGAGATACACTCTTTCATTCCTAGCATAGGGTCTAGCATGTACGAGGCATTTACAACTCAATCTAAATCTACAAGATAACTCCAATCACTTCTTCATGTTTTGCGGCCTAGATGATAATTTCCGAGATTTCGTTTTTGCAGCAGGATGTACAAGAATTGTCTAAGATCCAAAAGAAGTTCCCACCAATGAAAGAGAATAGATGAATATTGAATGGAAGAGATATCCCATTGAAAAAAATTGCGCCCCGTAAAACCAGACAAAACACCATAGAACTCCGTTTTGGATGCTTGAGTAGGTCACAGAGAAGTCTCGCTTTCTTCCCCCCGCCCCAATCACTTTTCGTGTTCATTTTCAGTTTAGGTTTAGCTTCAGCTCGGGATGATTGAAAAGGGCTACAGCCTAAAAGCCGTACCCACCGCCACCGTACGGCGTCGCACCGTAGGGAGTTGCCGCGCTGGCTCCCCAGGCACTCGTGCCGCCGTTGGCATATGCGGTGAACCCGCCATCCATGCCCTCTGGCGGCTCGTAGGCGTCCGGACTGCGGACGCCCATCATGTCCTCGTCTTCGGGGAGGCCGTTGCGACCGCCGTTGCCGGCGCCGGAGAGGGAGGAGATGACGGTGGCGAGTTTGCGTTGGAGGACGACGATGCCCTGCTGGATGATCATGTCCGGGTCGAGGTTGCCGATGCTTTCGACGTCGATGTAGAAGTTATTTGGTTGAGCGTCGTAGTCGAAGGGTTGGTCGGGGGGCGCGGCGTGTTCCCACGCGGCGTTTGCGGAGACGGGCCTGAGTGAATCATTAGCGACTGCTTTCGCAGTGTTGAACTGAGCGATGTGCAGAAGAGAACGAAAAGAATAACATACCATTCCTTAATGGGATCCTCCTCGTACCAGTAATCCACATGCCGGAGGTTATTGTGCGGGTCATACTCGAACCCAACCGCCGCAGTGGGCGCCCACTTCGCATGCTCCTTGGCTATCCCCTTCTTCGCAACACAGGTCATCTTGAGCTCCTGCCCCCGCCGCAGCTTACAGATCAGAGGGCCCTTCCCCTCCGGATCCGTGATAACGGGGCTCCCCACCCACTCGTTCGCGCGCTCGCCGCTGACGACCAGATCCCGCGCGTAGACGGGCATGATCTCGTCGCCTGTGCAGCGCGCGTGCAGTGTGAGCGTAACGCTGCAGCGCGCGCAGTGGTCCTCGCATTCGCAGTCGCGCGTGTACTCGACGTCCTGGTCGCAGTTTTTCGAGTTGAGGGGGATGAGGCCGAGTCTGTGGGCGAGGAATTCGTCGGGGAGTACGGAGGTGTTCTTTTCGACTTCGACCAGGTCGATGGCCATCGTTGGGACTTCGGCGAGGATGACTCGGCGAAGGGAGTTGGCGAAGGCGAGATCGACGGAGCTGAGTTTGAAATCGACGCGGTATGGCTCGGCCTGGGGAAAACCCGTCAGCACTGTCCTCTCTTGAAGGGCTGTTTGATACAGCATTCTTCAGAGACAGCTCGAACACACCTCTCTCACGGTCACCTGGGGCCCAGTGGGCTCAATATCCATCTCATAATCCATTTTGGCGATAAAGACACAGTGCTGCTGGTCGCCACCCTCTTGTTTCTCCGTAGTTGGATGCTATACTCGACTCATGCGATTCTGATGAACCACAGCCTGGCCCTGCAACTGTAGCTTTATAAAGTCTCTGGTGAAAAAAAAAAAAGAGACTTTGTTCAGTGGTTGTTGGTGACAGCAGGGAGCTCGGGGTTTGGCTTTGACCGATGCACTTCCGCCTTTTGGCGCTTTGCCTAATTAGGCATTATGAGCAGCATTCTAGTAAGCAGTCAACCAGCTACATGATACATTCACTCACTTTCATAGTCCTTGCATTCTATGCTGTTAGTTAAGAGATCCTGACGCAAAGTACGTTCCTGAGAAAGTCTGGACACTAGGGTGCTAACCCTCAACTGGTGAATTCTGCGAGATTTTCAAGCTATAATACATAGAAGCCAAAGGTACAGGAAGCCTGCTATGGGTGTACTGTGTGCCATTAGATATTACACGTTGATCCAGGATTGCTAATTCTGCGGTATTGATTCATGATCCAAAGATTGGAGTAGCAAGGCCAAATAGCAACAGTTTCGGCAAAATCAATGCGTCACTGTCTCGATGGCTGATCCAGTAGGCATCACCAATCCCAGTGCAATAGAGATCCTGACTGTGGCCTCTTCCCCTGACTTCCGCCGAACAACCAGATTAGGCCAGATAGTAGGTTGGTATCAAGTAGCCCACCGACAAAGCTTCCACAAAGGACCTGTGTGCAATCCCAAGTCAAGTCCAGGTAACAGCAACAGCAACAGCACCAGCACCAAAACTTGGCTTTTTTCGTCTGTCCGCAACAGCACTATCAAGCTGTGCGTCTAACCTTCTATACTGACGAACCGTCGAAGATTCTATAGTGATGAGCACGTAGAAACCGAGTTATGCACAAAGCCATCAAGCCGCCGCCCGCTTGTGCCAAGCAACAAGATACAAAGACTCAGAACTCCGAGGCTGTGAGACTGACCATGACAGGTAAAAAATCCCCCAATGACACAGATGCAAGCAGAAAACCAAGACAACGAGTCGAATGTTTTGAGTGGAAAATCGTATCAGTTCGTAACAAGATCAAAACGCTGGCAAGCAGCGATTGATCATATCTTTTCGGTTCGCCTGGCGGAGGTAAGAAAAGACAGAACTTCTCTGCTATCTTTTCAGAGAACTGCGATTTAAAGCCTCTAAGAGTTCAGGACGGCTTGCAAGAGCGGCGGCGGCTTGTGCATAGGTAACCCATTGCCGTTTCCGCTTGTGCATCTCTGGCCACTGGTCTTCTTCACGATCGACCGTCACCTCAAAAAACTGGTACGAGGCCTTGGGGGCACTCGACGTCAGAACGGAGGACGGGCGCATATCTGGGATCAACCCCAGATCCTTGTGGACCGTGCAAATGACACCGGCCTCTTCCCAAGCCTCTCTGCAAGCGGCTTGTTGCGCAAGTGCCTCATCTGTCTCCCATCCTCCTTTGGGGAGGACCCAACCACCACTTCCTACGGACTGAATCATGAGCACCCGCGTTTTGTCATGAGAAAGCGGGACGACACCCGCCACGAGCCTTTCGCCTTTAGAGCCGTAGCCTAAGGATTCCAGATAGGTTAGCTTCTTGTCGGGTGTGGAAGTCGTTGATGACGACATTTCTGAGCTCCTGCATGAACGACGTCCGCAGGCCTCTAGGGACGGTAGACTCACGTTGGTTTTTCCGCCCTACCCGGGACTCCATTGAGCGAGATTGTTCCGCCATTTTCGACATTGTCATCTATATAAATCTACAAGCGTCTTTGTGAAAACGCTTGTAGAGGGATCGGAAGGAAAGGAATTGAGCGATTGTCAACGACAGCTGATGCCGTGATCTTTTAGGCACTAGAAGGTAAAAGAATGGTAAAGGCGACAAGGGAAAAAAAAATATGGGTTTCGGCTAGAGCTTGAGAGCTGCTCAATTCCAAAATGACCGGAGGATTTCAAACAGGAGCCCTGGTCTCAGTAAAGAGCCGTTTAGGGGAGAGAATCAGTGTATTCCCCAGACCGTTGACCTTGCCGTCTTTCTTTTTGGGACGAGGCGGTCGAGGGAAATTTTTTGGGGCGACTGAGAATAATTTTGCGGAGATGGAAGAGAGGAACTAGGTATTCCCGTTCACTCCCGTAGCGGACGGGAACCTCAAAGAAGATGTGAAGGTGACAATAGACATCATTCAGGAGAAATAAGTATAGAATAGGGAAGAGGATAGAAGAGGAAATGGGAGAGAGTGTGAGAGGAGCGGAGGGGGAGGGTCTCAGAGGCAGCTTGGTATAATGGCGGCGCGGTCCGGCAGGAAGTACGGAGACCCCTACCTAGGTAAGGTAGGGTATTGTGTACGTGCTGGTAAGGTATTGACTTACAGTCGGGTGCTGGCTAAGGTACTGTCCAAGTGGTAGACACTAATAATAATACCATCAGGTATTGACGGACTTACCATAGTACTAAGGTACGATTCTTTTAGGGCCCCCTAGGCCCGTGGTTTGGTGACAACACCATCTCTAAATCTAGTCCCGGAGGGTGCTCTCCCAGAGCGGGAATGTACAGTTCCAGTTCGGTGTCGTATGCAGGTCATCCCATTTGCGGTGTCGGGGTGTGAATGGTGGTATGATACGGACCGTAATACGAGACGACCCAAGTAAGTTTCGTCTCCCGTCATCAAAGTACTGAGGTCCAGGGCTTGCTTTATTTTTGCCCTCTACGCAGGTTGATACTTTAGTTGTGTACAGCAACTCCAGTGCCTAACATAGAGGAGCAGAGGCGCCTCTACACTATATATGTCCAATCCTTCTCAACAGCGATGGTGCATGTACTCTGTGGTTTGCTACTTGGGTATGAGACACAGGTACTGACTACGGCAGAGATAGGATTTTACCTATGGATAAAATTGTCTAGCTTAACTCCATAGTAAAAATTGAAATATAATCAAAAGTAAAATAAATGGAATAAACGGCCGAAGATATTCTGCAGAGATCTGAATAATAATCATAATCTGTCTACTTTAACTAGTTTAAGGCACTGTCTTTGTCTCACCAGACAACCGACGACTATCGTCATATACGGAGGATGAGAGAAGCATATGGCGGGAACGTACCATCCACTCTTTGAAAGGGCTGACAGAGCAGCTTGATTCCATTCGAAAATGAAGCGTCTAAACTTAGAAGATATCTACAAAGAGAGATTGAATAATATTGGATGGTCTGTTCGCATGCTAATTTCTGTATTCTTGCGTCGGCGAAGACCCGAACTAAATCAGTTTAACTCCGCCATCGTCTTGCCTCTAGGGCTTTTAGTCGTTCCTGTTACCTCGTTTAATTTACATTAATGCCTTTTACCCTTCGTACCTATGGATCCAGCTTATTATTATGCTTCGAACCAGGGCTGTAGACTAGATTGGGTACCAGAAAGCAGGAGCACACTTGCATACATTAGCCACTCAAAACGACGATCCAAGCATCGGATGCGGGGCACAGCAAACCAGTCTGGTCCAAGAGATCCCGATCATCAAGAGTGACCTTTTAGCATGCTGAAGGAACTCTGAAGCAGAGGTCACAGGTCACACTCAGACATCTTGATGATGGCTTTGGAGAAACTTTTGAATTCTCGTGGAGTACCGATACAATACAAGGTACATACTGAATGTTCCACCTAGCTTGGTGGGGAGTACTGTACGCTTTCTGCAGTGGCTGGTTGAGTTGTAAACTTATAATTCGTGAGAGCCAGAAGCCTAGGGACGTGCTTAGATCTGTAGGCCATCAATGGTCCAGAGGCTTGAGGATCGCTGTAGTAGCAATTGGAGTTAGACGAGACAACGCAGCAAAGATCTGTAGTCAGTGCGGATCCTTAATCTCTCCAAGATCCTAGCAGGCTAGCACAGACAAATGACGGTGGTCATAATGCGTGGACTTTGAGGATGTTCGCACGTGATGTCACTTGCTATGAATATGCATGTAGACGTAGTAATGCATTTGAGTGGCACCCGTGAATCAAGTATCAAAAGTTTGGGTATAGTGCTTTAAGAATTGTCCTTTAGACTCAAAAAGCCTATTCAGCTAGAATCATGAGTCCTCACACTCATCATAGCAGTCCATAAAGACCACTCCAGATGACGAAGATTGACACTTGGCCAACTTCCAACTCGAGACATGCAAAAAAGGTTAGATTGTGGTACCAATTAATCAGCTCCAGGTACTCTGTACCGCGACCATTATTACATACTGCGTATTGTGTACAGGCAGGTATGTATTGTAAGTAGGCCATACACAGGTTGACCATACAATACAGGAACATAGAGGACATAGAAGCTTTCTCCCTTTCGGCCGCCAGGTACCACGAAGCTCTAAACGTCTATGCTGTGGAATGATGGTACAGGATCGGACGGAAGAGCGCAAAATCTAATATGTTCACATTTCATAGCCAGATGCTATATAAGCGATGCAAGGACAAATTCTTGCTTGCCATGATCCCGGAACCGGAGACCTATAGTGGCGAAAATAACTTCAGGTAGAGTCAAAGTCACCTTTAAGCCTCCTGCACCACATTCAAGAAACCAGTAGAAATGACAAGGATGATTTGGTCCTTACATGTGCAGCGACATGGCTTTAGCCTCTTCTAGAAGCATCATGAACGCCCTTGGGCTGGACTGTACTTGCATGGGTTGCTTCTTCATCCTGCCCGCCAGTCAAAATGTCATCCCAAAGTCATGCTTGGCAAATCAACATACAGTCGGATTCTCAGTTCTGCATCTCGAATACCTCTTTATAGAGCACCTATCTACGTGTCAGGCTGGGTAACTCAAGTATCTTACTCTTTCATGACGTTGCTGGCGACCCAAGTGGTCTTGAGGATAGATACCTAAGGCTGCTTCATTGAGGCTCCATTCCGGTATTAAATTATACCAGTTGACTGGCCGTACGGAGAGTAGTGAGCAATCGATTTTCTCTATTCTACTAGGTAGACAACAACGACAACAGGGATAAAACAACCCAACATCTCAGTCCGTTCTCCATTCTATGGTCAAACATCGTCGTCGGATCCAAGTATAGCGTGACCAGCTCACCGTTGTTAGTCTTTTTCGCCGCCTCAAAGCTCGAATACTCATTATTTCTTCTCTTCCCGCCTTGAGCGCTGGCAATAATATAATTGATCCGCTACTTCCATCGCCATCTTGTCTCTGAACGATCCGATTGAACTATTACTCGCCTTACACATCGCCTCAACATGGAAGAAGACGACTCCGTGGAGACTCTGGATCCCATCGTTGACGCCGAACGCGCGAGGCAGCTGTCACTGTTCCGACCTCTAGGTAAGGAGCCAGTCAGAGTAGTGTGCCTTTCCCCGTGCCCCCATCACTGGTCGTGATCTATCCGCTTCATCTTGCCCTGCCCCTCCCCCGATGGTTTCTATTGTATTTGCCCCTCATCCGCCGTACCATTGCTCTCTGTGTGTTTCCTTGGCTTCCATATTCTAGCCTACTGATGCTTTTGTATCTGGATAATTTTCCTGATCGAGCACACACCGCTTGGAGCGCTTTGCTTTTCGTCCTCCACTTCATGGCTTACTATGACTGTCCGTATGACTAACAAGATCCGCATACAGGATACCAGCGCAACTCATGTGGTTACTGCAAATCTGATAATGGAAGTGAGTGTGTCTTTTTTGGTCACCTGCCCCACTTCCTCCCATCTGCCATCATTCGCTTAGCCCTGCTTCGAGGCCTTGGCTGATCAGTATATGCAGGTGCTGCCTATTACACTAGTTCTGTTTCAGTACGACCGGAACATTACGATATCCTCGTCAATCGCGGCTGGAGAAGGTTGTACTCGCTCATCTGCATGCAGTCAACATGCAATCACCTTCACAACGCATTGCTAACCTTCGTCTAGATCTGGAACGCTCTACTATAAGCAGAATCTGCCAAGGTCATGTTGTCCGCACTATACGATAAGGTGCATACCCCGTCCTTTTCGCTAGCTTTGTGACATTGGGCGCTGGGACTGAACTTGACGCAAACTCTAGACTTGAAGCATCCGCTTTCAAACCGCGAAAGGATCAACGCCAGGCTGTCAACCGCTGGAACAAATTCGTTCTGGGTCCGGACTACATCCGTAGGGCAGCCTATTTGTGCCCCAAAACGAGGGAGTGAGTATTTGTAGTTTTTTATGAAATGCTGCCGGTAACATGGACGCATAAACTTACACTTTATTCTGTGTTCAGAGAAAAGAAACATCGGAAATGCAATTTCGATCTGCTTACTGCGGTTCATGAGGCCGAGTACAGCAATGTCAAGAGGCCCATTGACCCGAAGACGAAGAAACTGCTGGAGCCGGCCCATCGATTTGAGGTCAACATAGAGGGAGACTCTATTTCCCAGGCAAAGTCAGTATCGAACGAGCCCTGGTATCATTTCGTAGGCTAACCGAGTCCCAAGGTTCGATCTTTTCGTCAAATATCAAACCAAAATCCACAAAGAAGATGTATCCAAATGGAAACAGAAGGACTTCAAGCGTTTTCTGTGCTCAGGCATCAAAAGGTCGCCCGCAGATGCTAAATCTGCGGAACGAAAATTAGGGTCGTGGCATCAATGCTACCGGCTTGACGGGAAGCTCATAGCGGTTGCTGT